GCGACAGAGTGAGACTCCAACTCAAAAAAAAAAAAAGATAAAAGAGCCCATAGCCCCCTGGATCCCCAGCTGACCCCAAACAGTAGCCAACCACACCAAGGCTTTGATAGGATTTTTTTATTAACATATAATATATTTAATAAAAAATAATATCCACTCTGGCTCTCTCCTCCATGGCAAGGGGAAGAGTGGTGAGGAGGGGCTGGCACTGCCCACCCCTAGGCATCCGGACAAGCCCTGCCTCCGGGGCCCCTCTACCCCTGCTTTCCAACAGGCTCTGACCTCCAGACAGACGGTCCAAAGTTACAAGTGCTTTAGGCCCCCCTTGAGCTCCAAGGCCAACCCCTTGTGCAGAATCCAGGGGCCGCCTGGACAAGCCCCTTGCTTTTCCTCATTCTTGGGATCCTGCATTCATGCTAGAAAGAGGATCTGGGGCAGAGAGTGGAGTCTCTACTGCCAGGGGAAGGGAGGAAAGGGACAGTGATGGGGGACAGGCTGAGAAGGATGGAGACAAGGGCCCCTCACTGGAGCCGATCGCTGCGGAACGAATCCTCCACGGCAGGGTCAGGCAGCAGGGCACAAGGGTCGCTCAGCATGTTCAGCCCCTCCAGGCCCAGCGGCTCCATGCGCAGCTCGTCTTCTAGTCCCAGCCCCAGCTCCAGCCCGGCTGCCGACACCTCAAAGCCAGGCACTCCCGCCAGGGCTGCTGCAATCTCCTTAGAGAAACCTGGAGAGGTGTCTCCTGTGGGGAGAGGAGACGGCTGGGGACCCCAAGCCTGGTAAACTCTCCTGGGACCCCCTCAAGCTCCTGCTCGCCACGCCTCCCTCCAGTCCCCATTACTACCCACACCCTCTCACCTGTGAGGATGATGTTAGGCCCCGAGCCGTGGTGGGAGCAGTGGGTCAAGTTCTGGTGGTTGAGGGTGTGGGGGTCCTGAGGGCCACCCACTGGCCCCTCACCCCCTAAAAATCCAGACCCTTCGGAAAAGCCAGGGGGACCCAGCGCCAGGCTGGTAGATGGGCTCTCCATGCTGAACTGCTCCAGCTACAGACACACAGACAGACCTTGAGGAAGCAGGGTTTAGAGCAGGTGTTCCCGCCTGCCCCTGCCTGGCCCCGTTAACACATCCCTTCGCCCAGCAGTCTTCATCCAGCCCAGGAGCAGCAGCAAGGACAGAGGGAGGTGGCAGCAAGCAGAGCGACAGAAGCGAGCACGGGGCCCGAGGCAAGTGTGGGCACCGTACCTGCCGGGCCAGAGCATGTGCATGCCGGGAAGAGAACGGGTCAAGGCAGGAGTCATCAAAGAGCAAGCTGAGCGGAAACAGAGGGCAGGAGCAGGGGTCAGACACAGCAAGAGGGGCATCCCAGGCTGGCAGCGCTGTTACCGGAAGGAGGGGAGCTCTCCCCTTGCCTAGCTCTCTTAGTGCAGAGTGCACCAGCAACACCACTCAGGCCCCTTGACCCACCCTCAGCCCCTCTCCTGCTTCTGAACTAGGAGTCTGAGTACTCACGTTCCCCAGGCTGAAGTCACTCGTTGGCCGGTGGTAAGGTGGCTGCCCCTGCCCACTGGGCCCAGGGGGGTACAGCGTCCCATAATGTGGCTGCCTGCCTGGGGGCTGCCCACCTGAGGGCTGCACTGAGCAGGCCTGAGAGGGCAGCCCTGGCTGCTGTAGAGACTTTGGGGTGGGTGGCTGGGTGGGCAGAATCAGACTTGGGGGGCTATATGGGTATGGGGGCAGCCGCTGGTCAGTGGGCAGTTTACTGGTGTCCAGGGGGACGCCCTGAAAAGAAGCAAGGAAAAAGAGGGACATTTACCCTTCAGTGTGGCCCCCAAGAGGAACTCTTAGTCAGGACTTCCCACCTGCTTAAGCTGCAACCATCCTCAAAACAAACATGACAACATACCACTTCTCAGGGCATCCCTGGGGTAGGATGCAGTTATTTGAATGAAAGTGATTGACGGGGCTCACACCAGGGCGATTCTGACCCACTCCAGAAGTAAGACTTTCTTAAACCTCCTTGGTACTTGAACGATTTATTCTTAGTAATCGACCACTTGTGACTGATAACGCCACAGTGAAGTTGAGGACTGCTATTCTAGAGCCTTGAAGAGGCCAGAGGGAGCGGGAAGTCAGGAAAAGTGCAAAAGAGGGAGGGAGTGACGCATACTCCACTTGTCCCCCCTCCAAGAGCAGAGCCCTTGCTGGCCTGGCCTCAGCCTGTCCTAGAGGAGCAGGGAGCTGGGTAAGGATGGAACACAGAACACACATTCCAAGATGGCAATGGAGGGAGAAAGCTGGGCAGAGGAGAAGGAGGAGAAGGGCACTGGGGTGAAAGGGAGGGGGAGCAGAAACAGCAACATGAAAGAAAAGGTGGGCGGGAGGCAGGAACTGGGAAAGTCAGCACAGAGGGAAAAGCCCTGGTAAGAGCTTGGAGTTCTGTTCCCAACTCTTCCAAGTCTGCTGTGTGAACCTGGGAGAGTTACTTTCCCTCTGGGCTCCTGCTTCCCCGTCTGTGAAGTGAGAAGACTGGGCTCCACAATCTGAGATTCTCTGACCGTGTGAATTCTGTGATGGAAGGAAGGGAAGTGGGAAGGAACAACGGACAGGACACAGGCACGAGAAACAAGACAGATGAGAAGAGAAGGGTAGGAACAAAGAAGGAAGAGGGGAAAGAGAAGCTCCTCTCTGTCAAGCATATACCTGAGCTTAAGTGCTTCACCTATGTGAAGTTAGAGTTAAGTGCTTCACCTATGTGATTTCATTCGATCCTTACAAAACCACCCTTGTACTATAAATGAGATATTAAGGCTTATCAATTAAATAACTTGTTCAAGGAGACTTCTAATGAGGTGGAGTCATGATTTGAAACCAAAAAGCTTAACCCAGCGAGGTACGGTGGTTCATGTCTATAATCCCAGCATTTTGGGAGGCCAAGGTGGGAGGACTGCCTGAGGCCAGAGGTTCCAGACCAGCCTAGGTAAAATAGTGAGCTCTCATCTCTACAAAAAAAAATTTTTTTTTTTGAGTCAGAGTCTCACTTCGTCACCCAGACTGGAGTGCAGTGGCATGCTTACAGCCTCTGCAGCCTTGACCTGCTGGGTTCGGGCGATCCTTCTGCCTCAGCCTTCCAAGTAGCTGGAATTACAGGTACATACCATCATGCCCGGCTAGTTTTTTTATTTATTGTAGAGATAAGGTCTTGCCAAGTTGCCTAGGCTGATCTCGAACCTGTGGGCTCAGGCAATCCTCTCACTTGGCCCTCCCAAAGTGCTGGGATTATAGGTGTGAGCCACCGTGCCTAGACTACAAAAAAATATTTTTTCATTGCCAGGCATGGTGGCATGTACCTGTAGTCCTAGCTACTAGGGAGGCTGAGGCAAAAGGACTGCCTGAACCTAGGATGTCGAGGCTGCTGTGAGCATGCCAATGCACTCTAGCCTGGGTGACAAAGTAAGACCTCGACTCAAAAAAAAAGGCTTAACCCTAGGATTTGGGTTTGTATTCTTTTTT